TATTTAGAGGCAGTAGAATAGCTGTTAAAACTACACTGACATATTATCATGTAATAAAGTTTATGTGATGAATGTGGTAGCAAACAATTGCAAACTTGCATGCTTTGCAGAGGCAGAGAAATGTTTGCATTTATTTGGCGTGTTGTGTCTCCGACCAACTGGCTAATGTAAGCACAATGTCCACTCTCCTTTCAGCTCTGATTTGGTCTCCACCAACTGTATGAGAAAAATATGTCTTTCTCTTAGCTGCTAAATTCTAGCTAGATAATCACTAACTTTGTCAGTAAGGGCAAAGTTGGTTTATAAGAGCTTTTTTGGGCTGAAAAAACTGCCTGCCGCAGCTGGAAATAAGTCACTACCTCTTTCACATCACATGTAGTCATTTTAAAACCAAATGGTTGCAGTACAAAAGGTAACAATACAAAATACATTAAGTTAAACAACAATGACAATAAATAGTTCATTTTCATGAGGGAGAAAAGCTATACATTGCCGTCCCTTAATATATTGTCCAACTGTGTTCTCACCTGCTGGCTTGTTCCTAACATCCTCCCTTAATAAAAAAACAAGATGATCTACTCACACTGCATGTTGATATCTAATTCAGTTTTCCTCTAAAACAAGCATGGAAGATGACTATCAAAGACGTTTGACACAGCTTGAGTTCCATGGTTGTGGTTAGTAGACACAAACACACACCCCTTAATGTCTCCTCACACCATTATAGGTTAAACTAAACACTTAACTCAAGAATTTGCTGTCTTTCTCCGTAGGTATTGTTCAGAAATAAATATCCCTCAGTTATAACTTGTGATAGTCATAAATCGGGATGTTGTGTAAATGTCCCATTCATAGTAATTCATTTATGCTTTTACAGCGCTTCAAGCACCCTTGGCAGGCAAAATTAGAGTTGTTCCTCTTGTTTTTATAGACCGTCCTTGCTGTAGCTGTCTACTTACTGAGTTGAATTCCGGCCCAACACTGTGTGCCTTGACTCATAAAGCCAAAGGGCAGCAACTGATTGGAAGTGTGGGGAAAACTAGGTTTCTTTCTCTTTAAGACTAAACACATTTTTACAAGGGCAAGGTAGAAGCATGGATTGTCTTATATGGCATTTAATTGCTTCAAGGCCATTATGCTGTTCATATTAAATTACATTTCCACAACTATTCCTCTACCTTCAAACCAGGCAAAATGTTGTGACTGCAGTTTGTCTTTGCGGGGCAGGAAAGGACCACGCTTCACAAAAGTGCACAAATTTATGGCTGGTTGCACCACAGAAATGCTCTGCAGCCTACAATACAAATAGTGGCATTGATTTACAAATAGAGGGGATTTATTTCTCGGTGTTCCCCATTGCTTTCACAGGCAGAGAGACACATTTTAAGACAAGATATAAATGGAAGGAATCTATGAAGCAATTATTCCACCTCTGCAGTACATGGCAGCAACACCATTGAAAAAGGTGTATCAGGCTACCTTCCTCTGTTCTGTTTCACTGAGCAGCTTCTCCAGCCTTTCCTCAGCCCGTCAAGCTGCCTTGGCAACAATCAGAGCAGAGTGGCTGAGGCATGGCGAAGAGAAATGTACAATAGTGGAGTGGTAGGAAATTACAAAAGGAATCAATTCAATGAGTTCCCTCCCTCCATGAAAAAATGTCTATAAATCAGGCAGGTGGCCAGACCCAAACAACAACCTTTTAAGAGCCTGTCTACCAAAGCACAATGCATTTCAGAGCAAGGCACAACTCCGTAATATGGCTACTTTTTGTATTAAATTCTTTTTTCACTCAACCACTTTCCCAACACAGCAGTACCGTCAAGCACATGACCTTGGTGCTTTTTCCCATGACCTTATCCTTATTTCTTTATCATTGACATGAGATTGGGATTTTTTTAGTACCGTATTAGAGGCAAGGCTTCCCAGAATTTTCTGTAATGCCACAAGAGCAGTGTTTCATTCCAAAAGGAGACATCCACCTTTTGAAAAATGTGACACCTATTCTGACACGACCATGCTGGCATGAAAGTGAAAATGAAGACTTATCTGTCTTCAGCTCTTTACTGACAAAAAGGCAGTACTGTAGAAGGTGTAATAATTTTTAAAGAGCGTGCTTTGAACACCAGGTTGCTCTAAAAGCAGTTTGTAGACCGCATTTCTGGAATGAAGCTCTTTTTTGATAACAAATGTCAAGTCACTCGGAACAATTATTTTGCCAATTACACTCCCGCTGCCTATCACTTCCTGTGTTGTTTTCCCATGTTTCTCCTCATGACGCTATCACCTGATAGGATGAGAAGCTTAATGGAGGTTGTAAATAAACTAAACGGCAAGGTCAGCAGGAAAACCACTGATGGAATAAATTAATGTCCTGGTCCAAAGAAAACAACAGACAAGACAACATGAAATATAACAGTAAAAAGCGGTAAAAGGGCTCCGTGACCGTTACCCAGTCCTGATTTATCTGACGACAGAGGCAATCTAACGCTTCTCCACTGATTTGTCATGTTCCCCATGACCTGTCCACGAACATCAATATGGGATGGGTGTCAGATTGTGGGTTTAAACTGCCGTTAGGTGGTCATTGTGGAGCTCATTTGAGTTAGCACATGCATGTGTGTGTGTGCCTGCGCCACATTAATTTTCAGTATCTGCTGCTGATAAATGTCAAGGCCACTTGAGAGATGGCGAGCAGCAGTTTATTCCCACACACACCCACACGCAGAAACAACACACACCATCGATGCGGCACTGTAAACAGCGAGCCTGTATGAGCCGTGAATCGCCATGCACCCGTAGTGGGTGTCAAATAGTCATTGGAAAGCGAGTAGCATTATTGTGTAGGTGATGTAATGCTAAAAACACGTGCTGCCAAGTGAAATAATATGTGTTTATCCATGAGCAGTTGAATGTCTAGCATGGTCTCAGGTGTAATGGATGCCTGACAGAGAATCTCTTCACTGTAAATCACATGGCTGCTCTTGTATTTCCTGGATGACTGGACAGTTTTCTCCTTCATCTACTATAGGTACAGAACAACTGACCTTACGACAGAATTTAACCATCACTCAGTTTGTGAATTACATCCTCTCACTGTATTTTTGACATAATCTCATACCATGCTATAATTAGTTGAACGAACCCATTATAGTATAGCACTTCACAATAAAGCTACATCGTGTAATTGTGAAGATACTGAGGCCACACGGTGTCAAACCAGGGAGGCTGAGCTGTAATCTGCAGCCTCTTGCAACAGAAAATTAAGTTGGATAAAGGAAAAAGAAAAGACTGCCACTGACAAAATGTGTGTGCATATGTGTGTATCTACACAATATTCCAACAACATCAGTGTTACCTTGGTTACTAATCCTATTTACTAAGGATTGGATCCATTATTCAGGTTCTTCGTCTGAAAGCTGAATAGTTGTTATCACCATATGTCAGGGAAGAGGCAAATATTGAATATTCAGTGTTTTATTCACAATATTTCACAGTATTTAATGGACTAAGTGTAATCCATTTTGGAATATAAACTGTAATGAAAACCTGGATTTCTACAGCTGTAAAAATAAATGACGTGAGTGCATAAAAAGAAAATCAATGGAAAAAGCATAGAGAAATATGTGGGAGCTAGTTAAATATATGTAGACTTTATGTTAACTATGATTTAATATAGAACTTTAATTGTTCAATAGTGCATCCTTTCCTTGGGAGATATAATTTCCCTGATCATGCAGCAAGTAGTCTTCCATGAAAACTAACATTCAGGTTATGAAAAGGTCACTTAGAAATAATTGCAGGGGAGGCCTACAAAAGCTGAGGCTAATGTACGCTGATAACTTGACAGCACAAAAAGTCTGAATAAAACTGTAACATGAATTACAGCCCACGCATTCTGTGATCAGTGAAATGGCACACAAAGCATTAGGGATGCAACAATATGGGTATTGAGATAGCAAAGCTTTCCCACTGACAGCTACTGTATTTGCTTTCTCACAAAGCAGAGGAAACTGCTGCGACATTCACATATTGTTGCTCCTTCCAATTCTCTCACTCAGCCATCCAGTGGTAGCATTTCAACCATGCAAAAAATGTGGCTTAGGTAAGCAGTTGGCTGGCCAGTGACCTTGAATTAAATAAGGTATACCTTCATCAACAAAAGCCTTCATCAACCAAAAAATCACTTTATATTTATTGACTGTCAATATATATTTATATTGTTGATTTGAACAGCAAATTTAAATACAAACCTTGTTTTATGGAGCCCTAAAGTGAATGAATATGACATTATTTAATGAATAAATAAGACATTATGAAATAAATATATGAGCGAGTAGAATAACATGTAGCCTATATAAATAAATGTAATACAATAAATAAGCCAATACATTGTAAAGTAATTAAAAAAGTATATTAAAACTTGAAATGTTATTTTATTTTCATGTTTTTCTTATTTTCATATTTTAAGTTATTTTACAAACTTACCTTTTCAGGTTAGGTTTTGCCTAATGACATTTTTATACATTTTTATTTTTTGTTTTTACAATGGTCTCTTTTTACAGCCAAACACATCTACCCAGTCTCTCAGCAAGCTTGGCAACTGCGAGCTAGCTAAGTAGCTAATTCCTGTTGGCTAGAGAAACCACAGAGAAAGTATTTCTTTCCTTATCAGAGTTCTCTTCAGTGATTTTTCTGAGAAACATCTTTGAAATCACAATGCAGCTGAGGTAAATCTTGTGTTTGGTGTTCAAACCAAACACAGGCTCTGCATTGCCTTTCATGGCCACTATAGTTTCTCCTACACAATTGGAAGACTGAGCTGACACTGGTCCCCTAAATTATTTGATGGTTTAGAGGTTTAATGTCTTATTTATTAATTTAATATTGTAGACTTTGGGGTTCCATAGCCTTTAGTAGAGTTAGCTGGAGTTGGCCTGTCCAAAACCTCTAAAGCCATGTCCTCCCCTCCCCCCTCTGTCTGTGTCCCAGGAGGGCAACTGGTGGAGAATGACTGGTAAAACCCAGACCAGCAACGTAACCAACAAGAATGATCCACGCTCCCTCAATTCCAGAGTCTTTATCGGCAACCTCAACACAGCCATCGTCAAGAAGACCGACATAGAGGTCATCTTTGCCAAGTACGGCAAGATAGTGGGTTGCTCTGTGCACAAGGGTTACGCCTTCGTACAGTATTTGAACGAGAGGAACGCCCGAGCAGCTGTGGCGGGAGAAAACGCCCGTATCATCGCTGGACAGCCTCTTGGTGAGTGTTGTTTCCTTTTGCTTTTTCTGTCTTTAGTGAGAATTTCTGCATTGCTTGTATTGCAGATGCTATTAGGCACTCATGAAGGGCCAGTAAGATACAGTCTATACAGCACTTCGCAAAAACTTTCCCCTTGAAATACAGAATGTTTTGTTAAAGCCAGTGCTTTGCTAGAGGAATGGATTGTCTCTCTTGGGAACACAAGATGCCTCAGGCATCTCTCAGACTTTTAGTTTAGAACTTCCCTTGGCTCCTAAATGCTGAAGTGACTGTGTTTGTTGTCACACTATTTTAGAGAAATTCCCTGCTGAATGCTTTAACTGATCCACTAGTGAATGTAAGAGCAGTTTGATTTTAACATTTACCAGGCAGCAACTTGTAAAAAGTATGTCAAAGTTCTTGAGACACACAACTTGAGCAGACCAGAATATGTTAAGTGGCATGGGATGCAGCTACAGTATGCTGTGCAATCATGGATTTCTACTGTGCATGCCACTTTGCAGTGGTTTGTTTTTGTGGCGGTTGACTGGGAAATGTTTTTCATTCACATTTGTTGTGCTCAGTCAGAATTAGTTTTGTCTGTAAAGGACGTCGTCTTGAGCCTTATCTTTTTAGAACTTGTCAGATCTTTGTGACGCCTATTGGGAGGAATTACAAAGACACAGCAGCAGCGCATTCCTATGCATTTTAAAACATCTTTTTAGAATGATCATGACTGGACAATACTGCATACAAGCAAGAGAAAGGCTTTTGATTTATTTCTCTGCAACCTTGCAACTAAGGTACAGTGTAAAGAGTGCATATATCCCCGGGGGTCAGTATATTACACAATTAAAAATATCAGACGATCAAAGGGAGCAGTGTATGATGGACGTTAAGTGCACAACAGGAATATGTGAATGAGGAATTCATGTGGAGTGTATATTTAGGCTTTGACACCAAGCCCTCCCAGCAGAGACTGGAGAGTGACAATAATAAATTCCCCCCTGAGGAAATATAGACTCCTACAAGGGGACCCTGGGGAGGAGGTAGAGGTGCAGCAAAGTGCAATATGTTTGGTGTTACAGAATTTTAAAAATGTTAGTATGAGTTGATTAAAGAGAGCAGTGCATGATGGACGTTTAGTTAGTTATTATAATGCGGGTTTATTATAATGTGGATATAGAATATGTAGACAGTTGATATTTGACAAGGCTGTTTGCTCCCTACAAGAAAACATTCAAGCTCTACACAGCAGAGATAAGGGATGATAATATGAGAACCTACGGGTGGACACTAGCGTTGAGATGGAGGCCCAGCAGACCTTTGTTGACAGAACTACCTTGCAGACTTCCTTCATTATAACACCACGTAATTTAAGCCATTAAATGTAGTCTGTCTGATCTGAGGGAGGCTAGAGTGTTGCTTCAGCTATGAAGATATTGTCTTCATAGACATTTCAGCAGGACTCAATAAAATCAATAATCCCAGTTTAGGCCATTACCTAGTGAAAATAATATCCCCCAGACTGTTCACTCCTGTGTTAATGAACATTAGCTGTAACAAACAAAATGTATGTGCAGGATAAAAACTGAATACTTGAAGAAAGAAAGTACAGAGCTGATTTAAAGGTTATTGTGTCTCCTCTGCATCAACAGGACAGGTTATCAGTCTGCCTTTTTTTTCTCGACTGCATTCATCAACCTTAACATCAAACCAATAATCTGTCTCATCTGTCTCAGCCTCTTCTTAAAATCCATCTGGCTGCTGAGGGACCTAGGTGGTTTCTTCATTTGCTTTCCTATTGTTAAGATGATGCTGGCTGTTTGTGAAGGCCTGTCTGTTTGGATAGATGTTTAATATCTTTCCTTTACATATAAGATCTTCACTCTTAAAACTGATTTTATGATCTAACATAACTTGAAAATATAGCAACAATGGTTAATGGAATGTTTTGTGCTCCTCTGTCTATCGTTCCATGATAGTAAAGACAAAAAGTCAACAGCAAGTGATGATGAGCTCCCTTTGCCTGATTAATGGTGGCTAATGTGTTGTTGCTCTTTAAATCTTTCATTAGTTTGATATTTGGCATTATGGATGTTTTAATCATCAAAAAAGCAGAAAAACACATCAGTCATTAAAACCTAGTTGCAACCAGGACTATCACCAGTCAGAGCCAAAAACCATCTCTGAGCGCTCTACCATATCCATAACAGTGTTAGAGATTTATTTGTTACTTATCTGCAAATGATTTGAATCTTTTCACGTGTGATTGCTTGTTTTTGGTTGAGAAAGCAAACATAATCGAAAGTATTTTCATTACTCCAGAGTTCAATTCAAACTGACATCGCAGCGAAGCAATCCTGCCCTCATTGTTATCACTCAATCTGCAAGTCATGTGGCAGGAGTATGACTGGGAGATACATGCTTAATTGACAATTAAGGGCACCCTCAGTCTCATCCTCCCAAGCTGATGCTTTTTATATTAACATGGTGGAGAAATGAATCAGCCACATAATGATTTGGAGTTGAGGAATGACCTCCGCAAAAGGATTTATCTTCCTGTTCGAAAACATTTCATTAAAGTGTTATTATTTGGAGGTTGATTGCACCTCAATTTCAGAAATCACATCTGTAGGTAAGCTTATATTGCTGTGTTACTGCGGGAGTTGCATTTAAATACGTTGGTGTTTCAACAATCACTGGCTTTGTTTACTGATATCATCCACAGTCCAAGAAGCAGAACATGCCGTTGTGGATGTTTGAAAAGCATGGTTTTCTTGGCAGTGGTCACTGGAAAAGAGGTCAGTGGAATAATCACATCAAACTGTGACTGCACAGATCTACCTCAGCTACTCAGATGCACTGGTGATGACTAATCTGTGCACTCAATGATACACAAGTGTCAAAGGTCAAAGCCACCACAGAAGATGAAACTGTCTCTGTCTCTGTGCGTATGGATGAAAAACAGCTGATGAAAGAATGCAAAAATTCTATAATAACACAGCTGGCAGCACGTTCCTCCCCCCGTCGCTGAGTGAAAAAAATGGATGCTCCATTACCCTATCAAATATGAATAGGAGTTTATGAGATCACATCTACGATTGTGAGCACAGCAATCATTACTAAATAGCAGTGCATGCAATGCTTTTCTGAATGGCGCGAGTGCAGCGCCTCTACGCAATTCAGGGTTACGAGCGTGAAGATATTTCTCTAAAAGCACTCCACATGAACACAGATGTTGAAGTCTTGCAGAGCACACGTGAAGAATCTTTCTTCTGCTGTCTCTCTCTATGGTGCTGAAGCATTCAAACCCAGACGATGTCCCAATAAATACTATAAAGTAAAAATCTGTATTGTTTTGTCAGTTAATATACAAGAAATAAATGCACTTTGCAGTAAATGATACTAGATGTAAAAACATTTATCCATGAATTTTGGGCTGCACCTGCCAATTTAAAATGAATAAACTGAGAAGAGAAAGCAAAATGTTTAATAAGACGAGCTGCATCACCACTACTGAAAATAGGTTCTAATGTTTTGCAGCTGTGAGTAGCTCTTCCATTTTCTCTCTGAATAGCACTGTGGGAAGAAAGTGTCAATTAACACCGAAATTTGTGCAAAAAATGTGAAAAAATATATTTAGCATTCTTTTATGTCTCTCTCCATTGTGCTGAAACATATCAACCCACGCTTTTTCCCATTTAATACTGTAAAGTATGTTTAAGTATTATTTTCTTCCGTCTTATCTCTCGTCATGGTGCTGAAACATTTAAACCCAGGCTGCATTTCAGTTAAAGCTATGAGATATACAAATATCGATAGTGTACTCTGTCTTGGGTGTTAGTATACAGGAAATAAATACACTTTAATAGAAATTATACCAGACATGCAGACATCAATGACATTATGAAGCACTCCAAGAAATGTAATGTCTCACCATTATCCAAAATTAGTTTTAAAGGCACTTCAAACCTACATGGGTGTTTCAGTTATTCTGGCTGTACTAATAATATTGCTTGTGTATGTTGCTCAGGTGAAAAAAAGCTTACAAGCGAGCGAGGGAAATGTCAATGGCTGTGCTCCATTTAGCCACGAAAGTGTGCTGTTTGTTACATAGCAAAGCTAAACAAAACTAGCCACTTTAAATGCATGTGTTAACTGGTCCAGATGTGCTGATGTACTGAAGTGTACCAAATGAAGCACAGATTGTACATGCAGTCACAATCCAGGAAAGAGGTCTAATTAGCAGAAATAATTCTGCATGATCAATACATTTAGTGTGCATTCTGACATCTTCACATATACCTTATTTTGTTACGTTTTCCAATATGAAAGGACTTAAAAAGCCTAAAATGATTGCATTGTGTGCTTTGTAAATAGGAGACAGCACCAGTCATTTTGGCGCCCAAGCTAGTTTCAATTTCGCTACAATCCCACTTACAGTCACATAAGTATTAAAGACGTCTGAGGTCAGCTGCTCTGCTGTGGCATAAGTCACGTTAAGAACAAATATCTCTACATCTTACTTGTGTTGTTGTGTGTTCCCTACCCTCCGGCTAAAAGCTGACTGGGGGGAATTCCTCGTGACACAGTGACATGATGATTGCTGGCATCCATGAACGTCAAATGCATCCGAGCAGTTTCCGTCTTCACCCACTGAGATCTATCTGCTGCATCTCTATGGCCTCGCTCTACAGTGGACTCAGGGGGCTGCCATAGAGACAAAAAGTGACAGATTTTTTGCCCTTAGCTCTCCCAGCATGCACTAAGTATGAACATGCTACTGCTGAGTCTCCAAATTTACACATATGCACTAACAGTAGGCTATATAACTCGTATGCTATCTGAACGCCCAGTGCTGTATATTGCAGCTAGCTAAAATAAAACTCAGGTTTTTGAAAGATTTTTGTGAGATTTTACGAAGTTCTGATTGTCAAGCTCCTTTGCGATGCATATCACTCTTGCCCTTTATGTGGTGAGATGAGTATCTTTCTTTTCGTGTTTTTCTCATCTACAGA